TAATGATTATCCTGACTAGGACTGTGGGAAGTTCACACCTATAATCCCTGAATTATAAAAAGTTGTTCCTCTCACTGCCCTCACCTAAAAAGCTTTATTAAAACAAAGGGAGGTGAATTAGAGTTTATAGCAAACATTTCATTTTGTCATTCATTAGTGTTTCCATGGGAATCTCAGAGTAGTCTGCAGAGGCTGTTACACACCCCACCGTGTTTCTTCTTGTATGCCTGTATGTTGTTGATTTCAGCCCGCAGGGCAGGTTACGGGCTGTGTTGTTGCACAAGGTTGGCAGAGCAGTAAAACTCAGAGCTCAGAGGAGTGGGCTTTCCCCTCACCGCACAGCAACCATTACTCTACATCACCCCCCACCCCACCCCCACCTCACTTCCTCCTCCTCTTTCTGTCTGACCTTCACTAGCATCAACTGATCTGGAAAATATCTGGTGAGTCCAAGCCACTGGCCTCTGCTTTGCCTGAAAACACGAGAAATATTGAGCCAATTACAAGATTATTATCTGGTGGTAGTGACAGGGGACACTGTGGGAGTGTAGTTATGCCTGCCAGGGCTCCCTGCAGGAAGAGGAAAAATGAATCAAAGGCTGGTGGGGGAGAAGTGGACAACACTCATGCCCACTTGCCTCTATGTCTTTACAACTCCCGTCAATTGACAGACGTTGGCCGAGATCCAAGCTCCTTTCTAAAAGGTCTACAATAACGCCAGGAAATGGCCCAATCAGAGCTGATCACTTGTTAGTTTTTATACTCCTCCCTAATTCATATGTCATGTTGTCATATTATGAATGCACCCGATGTACAATAAATAAGACCTTATGGCGCAGTCAGAATTTTTTGGGGCATTTATATAACAGGCAGACATGACTCACAGCCTGTATATGAGGGCAGAGTTGAGTTGGTTTGCGAATATAATTCATTCAGTAGGGAAACGAAAGCAGTGATGCGTCAGGACCTTTATTCCAAAGTGGTTACTTTATAGACGAGCTTACAAAGGACACATTGAGTGATGTACTGCACATTACTGTGTACATTGGATTTGGTTTTTTAATAGGGAATAGAGATGCCTGAATGAGTCCTGGAATCCTTTTCTAGCTAGTTAGTTCCATATGAGAGGAATGACGTACAATTACAACAAGGGTTATGTTCTGTCATGTACACAAGCTGTTTGTTATGTTCTAAACATCCTAAATATTTTTTCTTGTTTCTTTCCAGTACTTAAATACATGCCAAAGCAGTGAATTTGATTTAAAGGGAGGCCAGGGTTCATGTGCCGTGTTTCTTATTTCGGTTTTGGTCTGTGTCTTGTTTCATGAGTGAATCCCGCTGCCTGTGTTTTACATGCATCAGTGTGCTTAGGGAGTAATATTTTAGCAGCGCAATGAAGACATCAAAGCGGAATCTGGAACTGCAGTAAATATCAAGCACTTGGACGGTTTGTCATATGTTACATCACCTACCCTGCCAATAAAGTTTCATTAGAAAGCGCTGCATGTTTCTGCTGTAGAATGGAAAGAAATACCCCAGTGTGGTTCACTTACTGTAAAACCAAGTGTTCCTTACTCCTTTGCCCAACTAAAACTTGAAAGCTGAGAAGTGAAGTTCTTTACTTCTTCTTTATAACATCAGTGTGGAGTAGTTACTTAATTGATTAGTTGAGAGAAAGTTACTGGTTACGACTCCTCAAATTTGAAGTTTTACTTTAGTAGTCTTCACAGGTACCAAACATTGGAACCAATTCAGAATACCTACCCAAGTGCAACATGCATATTAAAATTTTTGAATAATGAGACCTGATCCGAAAGAGACCAGACCAGATTCCACTAGATCCAAGGATGGTTACATCTAAACCAAAATGTGTTGAACCCAAAAATACCCAAAAAGAGAGAGAACACCAAATGTGGTCAAACAAACCCTTGACTCAAGACAATAAAATGGGACATTACCAGTTAGACTGGCTTGGGTCCCAGGTCAGGTTTCAGTTACAAGGTACATGTTGAAAGCTTACTAGTGACCTCGAAGTTGCTTATTTTCTCATTTTCAAATCTTCAAAAAGGTAATATCTTTTGGACTGTTGGTCAGACAAAATGAAGAACTTGGGCTCTGGGAACCTCTGATTTCTGACAAAGTTTTGACATACCTCATATTAAAGTGTGCCGCTTTTACACATCAATGTCTGTTTACAGGTCTTGGGGAGTACTACTGCATATGTGAAAAAAAGTTGTATAAATCCTTTTGTGGCTTCAGAGGGAGCTGCGCAAAGTCTAATACATTGTCTCAAGTGGCGTAACTTGAGGCGATGTGAGCTGGGGCTGAAAGAGCTGAAAAGTTTAAAAAATGAAAACAATCTGGGTATGTGGAGCAAACTCTTCATCTCTGCTTGAGGGTGGAAGCTACTTTATTTTTTTCAAAAGTCCAACGAGTGCAATGCTAAATTTCTGGAGTACTCATTTAAACAACTAATCGAGAATAAAAAATAATCACTTATCAATTATTATTTGCAGGCCCAGTATGTATGTAGAAATTTCAATTGCCTAAGACGCAGAACAAAAAGGTGTTTAATCAGCATCTGTTTCATACAGATGAACCCAAAATCATTCTGCCAATAACTATATAATGTACAGCAACCAGAATACAGTGTACTTTATGAGAACCATACTTGGGACTTCCAAACATGTCTTGATGTTGCACACCATACCACATAGCCTACCTCACTGACCCTGAAAATCCCCCCAGAGTGCCCTCGCATCAACATGCCACCACTGTGAGTGCATCGACCACAGCACAAGCTCAACGTGCACCATCAAATATGGATGCTTCCTTTAGTACAGGCTCATTTCTTTTTCATAAAACAATAATGTTCTCTTTTGCATCATAAAGTTGTGGTACTACTGCACGGGTGGGTTTCAGAAGTCTGGTGGTTCCCAAATCAGCATGTAGCCAATATAGGTAAGAAGACTACCTGCATGCCAGCGCCTGAGAGCCCCCATTTAAAAATACTTAGTCTCTGTGTTCTTTATTATTGACTTGTCAGCTTAGTAGCCATTGCAGTCCCAGATGGCCTTGGGTTTGTTTAAAGCACCATTATGCTGCCTCACTCTGGACTCTTGGGGCGATGGGGCAGAGCTAATGTGAGAGGAAAGGAACCTTGTCCATGTTCCTCTTTACGCAGCTGTAGGAGAGGTCACAGACACTGAGAGGACTCTGGAGGTCAGATGATGGTCAATGTTAAAGACGGATGTCGAGACATCAGTGCGCCAGTGTTGCTCTTGCTCTTATTGACCACTTCCTGCATGTCTCCCTTGTGCTGAATTTGTGATCTGTTCCTCACAGAGAACATCCACTTAGAATTGTCAGCCACATACCATGGGTGTGTTTTGACATTGGCCTGAAGTTATTGACTTATGGCTTTTAGATCCGTTTCACTTCATACGCTGAGCTCATCCGGCAGCTGTTTAGCAGCCATAAGGTAAACTGGAAAAGACTTGACGTGCTTTCGCCTAAGTAACCCGACTCTTCAGCAGTTTTGGGATTCTGCCTCTGACATGGTTTCAGTTTTGTTGTCTTAACTTTAATCCCAAATATTTTAAGCGATCATGGACTGATTACAAACTATTTATTTTGGTTTTTAATTGGGAGGACTTGTTGGTGAAACCAGCCATCACATTCATCATGACAGCTTGTGTCTTTTATGGAGAATCAAGTGCTCTGTTTGTGTAGAGCTTGTCCTTAGCAAAGACCTCAGTGCCCTCTGTCTCATTTCATTCTGTGTATGTTAAACTGAGCATGATTGTTTACCAGCCTCTTTCTGTAAGGCAGAAAAACGGCACCCATCACATCTTAAAAGACACTGGGCGGTAGGAAAAGTCTCTACTTTAATCACACATGCTAGTGCTTGCCACTGCATGGTCCTATAAACAACAGAGTGAAGTGATGAGTACTCCTTAGTTTTTGGAAATATCAGAAAACCATCCTCCTTTAGGGTCTCAGTAGTTCTGTCATGGGCGGCAAACTGCGTCTACCCTGGGAGCAGCCTGGGCCACTTTGTCAGCGCCAGTCTTTGCTTTAAGCAGCACCAGCCAAGTAGATGAATAATTGACGCCTGCATTCTGTACTTTGGTGAATTTTAAAGCTGTATTCTGCAGAGGCCCTAAATGGCAGAGGGTGGGCGCCTTAATCATTCATGGGCTGCTTTTACCCGCTTTGCTTAAGGTCACTGTCCTGAAGGTAGATGGGCAGAAGGAAAGCGGAGAAAGAGGAGTGGGAGAAAAGGGGTGGCATGCCGAATGATTTAGCTTGTTTCCCTTCCCGTTCATCTCAGGTTGGGCTTGTGGATTTGTCATCAGTAGGATTTAATTTTATAGAGGTGAACACATTTAGAATAGCAATCTATGACTATAGTTACTCTTGTGTGTTCAGATTGCTCACGCAGAACTGTTTATTAAGTAACAATCAATTATGCTGAGAAGGTCTTTTGGTTCAAATATCAATATTTCATAACCAGCACTACCATAGAATGGGTATAAAGATGGACATTCTTCTTTTCTCACCATGTGAGAGCGAAGAATACCCTCTTTCAAATGGGCCCAAGGGAGTCTCCTTCTTGATTTCATAAGTCCTTAGGCTACATTAAGGAACACTTGCTGTACCATCTGCATGCTATCACCACAAGAATGTCTTTGCACTCCGAGCGTGGTGCTGTGCCAAAACTGCAAATCAACATTTGGTCACACCTCTTGGCAGCTAATTGAGCTTGGAGATAAAGACACCTGATAGAGATCAAATAAATAAACTGCTACAAACAGACTGTTCCCAGTATTATTCTTGATTGATTGGATTCAAAGTTTTTGATGACATAGCCTGAGTTCATCCAATGTTTATTGTAATAAGGGCAGTTGTACAAGTGCTACACTTTCTCTGTGTGATTCAGTCAGGAGTGCAGGTCAAACAAATATCTCACTTCCTTTTCCCTATTTTTCTCATCGCAGGGAGCTGATGCCCAAGACGCTGGAGGGTCAGATCACCATGGAGAAAACCCCCAGCTACTTTGTGACCAGAGAGGCTCCAGCCAGGATATCCGCCATGTCCCGGGACACCAAGCTGATTGTGGTAGTGAGGGACCCCGTCACTAGGGCTATCTCAGACTACACACAGACACTGTCTAAGAAGCCTGACATTCCCTCTTTTGAGAGCCTCACCTTCAAAAACAGGACTACGGGGCTCATCGACACCTCTTGGAGCGCCATCCAGATCGGCATCTATGCCAAGCACCTGGACAACTGGCTGCAGTATTTCCCCATGGACCAGATCCTCTTTGTGAGTGGCGAGCGTCTGATCAGCGACCCGGCTGGAGAGCTGGGCCGTGTGCAGGACTTCCTGGGGCTCAAGAGGATCATCACAGACAAACACTTTTACTTCAACCAGACCAAGGGTTTCCCTTGCCTCAAGAAGGCAGAGGGCAGCAGTAAGCCCCACTGCCTGGGCAAAACCAAAGGGCGGACCCATCCGAACATTGACCCTGAGGTGGTGCAGAGGCTACGGGACTTCTACAGGCCCTTCAACATGAAGTTCTACCAGATGACAGGGCGTTTTTTTGGCTGGGATGACTGAATGTGACACTGAGGAGTATTAGGACCACTGGAGGAAATATTTGATTTTGCGAATAAAGTTGTAATATTTCAAAAAAAAGTCATAATGTTACAAGAAATAAGTTTAATGTTACAAAAAAAGTTGAAGAAAAAATAATTTAAAAGTCGTACTGAAGTCGAACGATTTAAAAATTTTTTTTTTTATATTTTGTGAATAGCCTAATAAACAAAAATATTTATGGGGAGTCAGGCAATGCTAAAGCATCTAATCTAATATAGCTAATCAAATCACAACATTTTGATTATTATATTCTTGAAACCTAACCCACTTAAAATTTTGAACTTTATTCTCATAATTTTATGATCTTTTCCCATAAATTTACAACTTCATACTTGTCAAAATAGTGAGTTTTTTTTTAATAGAGTTTTCTTGTAACATTTAGACTTTATTCCGCTAAAATTACCTAATTTAATTGTGTTTGTTTTAAATATAATGTACATTTAAATGTTATGATTTCAAAGTTATAATTTTACAAGAATGCAGTTATTGGGTTATTTTTCAAATTATAAAAAACAATTTTTGCCAAAACATCTGACATTTTCTCAAAATATTATGACTTTATTGTCAGAATCTTATAGCATTCATATTACTCTGTCCGCAGCACTAACCCTAAGCAATATCTGGCTGTTACAGGACAGACAGAGGCCCAAACTCCCCTCAGTGGCACCAGGATATGCAATATTTCACTGTTACATTTTAATGATCATAGCTGCCTCTAATGCACAATCATGGAGTTATTTTCTTCTAAAACACGTTGAGTTGTTGAAGGATTTGAGTCATATCTGCCTGCACTATCTGAAGAAACTATTGGGGGTTTTTTTTTCAGTGGCTGTGACACAGAAATATAGTATGCAGTGCTTCTTCAAGAAGATGGGTAAAAACACATTGTGTCCAAGGGCTTTTGTTAAAAGCCATTACTGTGTGATTTAATGCCATATTTTAAACATACATAGCTGCTTTCAAATTGTACAATTTTTCTAGCAGAAAGAATATGAAAAGATAAAAATCTATGTATTTTTGAAATGTATTTATTCTAGAAGTACACAAGTATGTATTTTCAATAACTCCTCAACGATTATTTGCTCTCTTAATATCATTATGCTTCCCATGCCTTTAGAGTTTTGTTTGTTTTATACTGAACATATTTCAGTGAAACATGTTGTCCTCATTTTAATTTCAGGTCATCCATTTTCAATACGTCATTACTATACGTGGATGAGTGGGAACACTTGTCTCCACTTAGCTTTCAGTTCTAGAGCTGCAAGTTTGCTATTTCAAGGGTCGTCCACCTTCAGTTAATGAAGTTACAGGCAAAGATTGAACTCACTGTTTTTCAAGCAACAGTGACTCTGGTGGAAGGAAAAGACCTCCAAAGGGCCTTCCCAAACATTGACTCAGATTTCCTCAACATGCCTCCTTGTGAATTGAATACACTTGATGTCACTGGCCTTCCTTGCCTTGAGGCAGTGTGTGTGTGGAAGTCTTTTTAAACCCAGGGAGCACGAGAACAATGGGTGAGTTGTGTTCCTAATTTCTGTCTACTAGTATTGTGAGCCACTTTCTGAAAGCAGATGTGCCTCAAAAGACAAAAAATCAAGTTGTTGTTTTTTTGGTGTGAACATCAGAAATTGATCTAAAAGAATCATGTAGATTATGCGGGGATTACGTTACCAATCTAACTGTGCTGTTTTACTGTTGTGTTCTTAAAGTTGTTGGGATTTTTAAGGCACTCCTTGAATAAAAAATGTTATATGTAAATATTTTATTTACACTGGCCTTTAAATCATTTTTAATTTTTTCATGCCAATGATTCCCCCTCAAAAATATATGCATAGGGTGTAATTAAGCAGTTAAGGAGAGAACATTAAAGTCATTATAGTGCTGCATGCACATCTAACAAGCTCAGCTTCCTGAAGAATCATAAGAGCACTTCCTTTCCTATCACCACAAGCTATACCTTCACATATTGTCTCTGGTTATCTCCTTCCAGTCTCCAGGGCAGAGTATAAAAGGAGGTATTAAGGATTTAAAAAGATGCCTGCAATCTTGAAGCCTTAGTTTTGGTCTGCTGGCAGCTCCTTGGCAGCTTGAAGACTAAGGAAGACTGGAGCTAACAACGAACTCACAGCATGGTTTGATCAACAGGTTATGCACAGGATACAGACCCTTCGGTACATTTTGTACATTAGCAATTGCAATAAAGTTTTATTCAAACAATATGGAGGTTCTCAAAAAAGAGAAAAACGTCATTTTTGTGCACTTGTACTTTGAAAGCAAAGCACGAAGAAATAAAAGAATATGGACCTGCACACTCTACATTAAATGAAGCTTCACTACACTGAAGCTACCCTCCAGGGAAATGAAGCAAGCCAAGATACAGCAACATGGCAAAAGTAGTTACATGTAAGCTATTTTGTTTTTATTTTTATTTTTTATATTGAACCAACTTTATTCTATGTCAATGCTATTTCAATGATCAATGCAACTGTCATTTAAACAAATAGGCAGGCAATTGTTCTGTTCAATTGTTTTTTAAACAGTGCTGTGCTCCCTGCTCTCACTGTTCCAATTTGGCAAACAAAACTTGTGCTCCACATAATAACAACAGGTGTCAAGAGGATGTGTATGGTCATTTTTATGTGTGTGTGTGTGTGTGTGTGTGTGTGTGTGTGTGTGTGTACAAACTGTAAGTTAACTCAAAACTCAGTAACTCAGACAGAAGCCATAAAGAAAATAAAGGCCTGCTTCAAACAGTAACAACTAGTAAACTCAGTGTCTGATGTCTTTATTCCTCTGCTGCAAAGTCACAGCCATAAGCCCGAGGATTTTTACGTGATGTCAACATTATACAGAAGTGCTTCTGTCACTTATTGATCTTTAGCCCTTGTAGTTCAGAATTGACCTTGAGCTTGAGAAATGCTTGGGAAAATGTAGCTTGTGTGGATTGAACTAAGGTGCTGCTTGCCTTGTAGCGTCGCTACTGTCCAACAGTGACGGTGAGTTTGTTTTTCAGCATAGTTCCATTTTATTTATGGCAGTGCGACATACAGTTACCTACAACATGTAAGATACTACTCCAATATTTTATAACAACCTCCCAGTTTATAATGTGTCTTCTGAACACCATTTGGGAAATCGGATCATGGACCTGTTCAAAGAAGACAGTCAACCAAAATTCATCTGATCGTCCAACAGCCAGATCGTGGATTAATCGGGCATTGACACCCGCTTCAAACTGAATTTCAAATGGTAACCGATCTCGCAACGCATCCCAAATCTAAAATGAGTTACAGGTGACTTATGTGAGGCTAAACTTATGCATAATCTGTACATTGTCTGCCCACCTTTAAGGACGATTTTGACATTAATAGATAAAAACCCCTCTTAAATGGTACTACTGTAGGTGAAATTGTCCTGAAGAACTGAAGCAGTTGAAGTGCTGATACATATGTTGATTATTAACCAGCACTGGTTAGGCCTGAATTCTGCTACTAAGCAATTAGCAGGCACACTTCATATATAAAGCCTCCACCTGATGCCTCACTATACAGAATAACCGTAGTCTTAATGTAATGGTGTACATACAGTGTGGCAATCACAGCTTGTGCTTGAGGGACGAGCTACTCCGAAAAGCACACTTGTTCTTTTCTCCCCCATCTCCATCTCTTTCCTCCTACACTGCACCTGTATGTTTTTCTTTGCTAAAGGAATCTCTTGGCCTTTTCCACCCGCAGTCTGCTGACTGATTTGAAAAACTGCACTGACAGGCACTTAGTAGATGAACCATGATGAGAAGGAGGAAACCTGTTGAAAGTCTACACATTTCCGAAGCTTATTCATGCTGATCGTCAGCGTGCTGAGAAGATGTTGTGACTTTAACAACCTGCACGGAGATGTGTGAGCAGAGGGAAGGGGAGGCTGATGTCCATTTGTTGACTTGCTCAATTTGCTTGTTATTCCTTCCTGAGTGGGTCAGCAGGGCCTCTTCAGCGACGGTTCCTCACAGTAATAAACAGAGACAGTTTTCATCCTCCCGCTCAATTCTCTGAAGGGCAGCTGACTATGAAAGAGAAAATGGAACGCCAACATCTGCTACGGGACAGCGTACAGACCACCCCTGTCAGAGAGTATTCAGCTCAGTATCAATGGCACGGACCTGGGGAGAACTTGAAGTCTGTGTATTGAAAAACAGCTGACCGCATGTGGTGGTGGAAGGGGGTTTGAGGGTGGGGTAAGCTGCTGCAGAAAGACAGGCATTTCTGGTGCCTCGCAAATCACTTTGATCTGCCTTTTCTTTCTCCTTATATTTCACCTTTTATGCATCTTTTACTCATTCCATCAATATGGCATCAGTATCCCTCGCAAACACACACGTTTAGAAGCGGGAGCACCTGTGGGGAGTCGCCTGTGCACAATTAGCTTGCATCCACCCCCCTTTAACTCTAACTAAGCCACCAAAACCTCCAATCATCCAGACCACCCTCCCCATACACGCAACTCTGAGCCTGTTTTTGCACACGCAGACGTTACAGAAGCGCGGCAAAAAGATGGGTGGGCTGTGCGATAACAACCGCCAGCGCTTTAGAAAAACAAGGTTCTGAGCGTGTGTGTGTGTGTGTGTGCTTGCATGGGAAGTGCCCTCAGCATCATACAGGCCGTATAAAATGATGAAGCGAAGGGATCAGAGAGATTGCTTTGAAGAAGAAGGCAGCAGCGAGAGCATTTGCGCACACCCAGATTCGTTTGTGCATCTTTCCTTAAGTGCACGCAGTCACACACACTTACATACATACATGCAGACGTGGCTTTACACTGTGTCATACATACGAATTCACTCACACACACACATGCTGACCCACTGGGATCCACACTCGAATACAGTCACCACTGACTTGTGCCCTGCGGGGGGACATGGATGGGATCAGACCTCTGTTTTCTCTGGATCCCAGAAGAGAAGCACTTAATCCCTGGCCAAGTCTGAGCAAATATCTCCGGCAGGCACGCTCCACACACAGCCTTAATCAAAACAGCCAAAGGGGGTGACTGAGTCGCACTTTCAATTTGAAGTTTGCTTTATCTATCATAGACTCATGTATCTTAAAGAGAGATCTTCAAACTTCAAAGCAGAATTTCAAGTGTTATCTGGTGCACTATGGCCAGATGTAACCAAGATACCTGTGTTTTATTCTCCGTCTCCAGGCTGGCAAACATATATGCATTTACAGTAGTATAGGACGCATTAGCCATCAACAACTATGGTTTGATTCGTTATAGTGATTCAAATGTTTGAAAGAAAGAGTTCCTTATTCTCTTCAGGCTCTTCTAGGATTCATATTCTGAGTTTTCATTTCTATATTTTATTTCTGAACCACACTGCAGATTTTCCTCATTGTGACAGAACAGAGAGATTGTGGCCTGCAAACAATGTACAGAAAGAAAGTTTTAGCTATGCAGCAGCAAAATTATTGGTTTTAAGTTTAAAGACATTCTCATGAAAATGACCAATTGTTTGTTCGTGATGAAAAGGCATCAATGGTTTGCATGCTAGTAATAAAACGAGGGACTGCTCTTTGAACTGTCACTTCTGTGCCCCGAGTAAAGCAGACAAGACACAAAATTAGCAATTAAGATTGTCTGGGAGCAGGAGTCTTTCCAGACATGTGCGTTTTGACTTCGAAGTTTTCACGCATCTCTCCTTAACAGAACCTCCTTCAAAAGAACTGCTGCTTTTCAAAGGGTGATAATTGATCCTGACACATGATTAAAGATGTGTTCATGTTAAGCTCAAATTTTCCTTCCCCTGGATGAAAAGCAGGGTGACAGAACTCCAAACAAGAAGGCCAGATCGTCTGAGGGGTAGAGCCCAGAACGTCCTCAAGGGAGGACAAGTTTGCCCTGTTAGTGGAAGGCTCTGTCAGCCCTGCCACTCAGCACTGGAACCTTTTAGTCACACAATCACAGAGTACATTTTTGCTGCTTTTTTGTTTTGTATCAATATCAAATTAAAGCAACTGCTCTACTCATATGTCTGTGCCTTAAGTATGGAGCTTTAGGCAGCAGGATATTAGCTTAACTTAGCATAAAGAGTGTAAATCTGCTCTAAATTCAACTGACCGAAAGCTCTAAAGCGCACAAATTAAAGGGAATACGCTCTCCATTTTGTTGCTGAGAGTTTGATAAGAAGATAGATAAAACTCTCATTTCTGTACGCAAAATATGAAGCTACACCCAGAAAGCGAATTAGCCTACGTTAGCATAAAAGCTGGAAAACAGCTATCCTAGCCCTGTCCAAGGTTGAAAAAAAAAATAGAAAGAGAGAAAATCCATCTACTGACTTTTCTAAAGGTCACTAATAAACATATTAGTAACTTGTTATGTATCTTGTTAGTTCAAATCGTACACAATCCTAAATGTAAATTTGTGGTTTTATGGAGAGTTAGGTGCTATAACATTTTTTTTAGCAACAGCCAGGCACAGTGACTCTTTTTCACACAGTAGAGACGCTGCACAGAAGTGCTGTGTGGACAGATAAATTGTTGTATGTCAAGTAATAGTTACAGCACAGAACTCCCCGAAACCACAAATTTTCATTTTAGCAGCAATTTGTGGTTTTAGGGAAAATAAGTATTTAATAATGCATTTCCAGAAATGTCTATTATTTTCATATATTTCTCTTTTGAACTGTTATACGTTACAGTGGGTTATAGTATCTACATTATTTCAAATTTTTTCATCAAAAAAATTAATTGATTAAATAAAAAAAATACTGACAGATCAGTG